TTTTTTAAGTGAGATTGCTAGTAACAGAAAATTCTTTTAAAATTAAAGATGCCTACTTCTGATTTGTACTATTTTGTTAATCTTGAAGAGAAGTGCTGGCTAATGTTCATTGCTGTTAGATTTAATACAGCCTGTAGATAAATTCACAATCAGTTGTTTTTTTTTTTTTTTGTCTCCAACTGGTTTTCTTCACTCTGAAGAGAACAAGTGTTGAAAACTGAGTTGTAGTCCAGCTTGTGACAGCCTCAGTATTCTTTGGAAGTTATCATCATCTTGCCTCTAGGGGCTTGCAGGAATGAAAGTTGATCAGCTTTGGGGGATCTGAGGTTTCAGAGGTCATAAGGGATATTTGTGTTTCACTGTGCCCAGCAGAGTGGAATGAGGAGCTGGACTGGGCCCACTGAAATTCAAACCACTGCCCTCAGAGCTGTGCTGCTGTGTGAAACTCCATGCTAATCTGAATATTTGTGTCAGATATTTCAGTTAAATATTCATGAAATCTTAGCTTGTACTTTCAAGTACTTTAAGCTGAAAGAAACAGCCCTGTTCTCCAGTGCCCCAGGATAGACCTAATTAATCATTTTTCTTGAAGGACGATGAGGACTTGAGTGCTAGGATGAATTGGCTGGATGGCACAAGAAGGGAAGCTGTTCAGTCCCTGTCTCCTATCCTCAGGCAGTTGATTGTTGCTGAGGTAGGATCTCTGTGTGTCTAGTGTATACAACACAATGTACATACGTACACATTTGCTTCAAGTACTGTCTAACTTGAGAACTGTCCGTGATGTCCTACTCTTTTCCGCAGAGGTTTTTCGCTTTTACTGAATCATTGTTTTCCCTGAGAAAAGTCATGTGAGTGTGGAAAAAAAAAAGTCCTATTCAGATCTGCTTAATCAGCCTTGGGCCTGGTAGCCTGTGTGAGGTGGCCAGAAACAGCCTTAAGTCTGTTTTTTATATCAGTGTCTTAAACTCACTACATGCCGAGCTGCAAACTGCCACGGTAGTGAGGAGCTGAAACATCAGTTTCAGAAATCCTCACGGTGTAACATTGTCTTGGCTATGCTGTATCCACCCATCCATATGTATATATAAATATTTCCCCAGTCATTTCTGAGAGGAAATTGGTGAGGGAACATATATATTAGCTGTGCACTGAAAGACCACCAGCCTTTGCAGTTCATGGTTGCAGGCGAAATGAAGCATATGGCTTTATGGATGAAATTTGCCAGATCCTCTCATGCTTTTGCTCGTATTCTTATTTGAAAATCAGAAAAGGTGATGACCCTTTTAAAATAAAAATGGAATTGCTGGCAGGAAGTGAAGGTACAGCTCTGTGTTCCTAGCATTTAAAGATGGTTATAAAATGTACATTGACTGTTTTTATAATTTATAGTGAAACTGCTGTTGCTTTTAATAAAATGAGACTTCCAGTCAGAGTTTCATGATTATGAATGTGAGCATTTTGTTACCCAGCTTGGATTTATCCTACAAATAACCATTTTCTAACATAGCTGTGGCCGTGTACATAACTTAATGGGATTCTCTGTCACACATAATTCTTTCTCAAGTTCCAGTGTTGGACTTGTTGCTGAATATTTAAAGTCCTTGAATCTGGCTCAAGAACTGAGTTAGTGGTGACTTTCATGATTTTTAATTTAATTTTTCCTTAATTCTTAGACTTGTAAAACTTCCTGTAATTCATTATTAGATTTACTGTTTCAAGTGCTTATTTAAAAGGCACCTTAGCTGCAGAAGCAAATCAATATTTACAGTGCATTAGTGCCACAGAGAATTTGAAGCCTTGTGATTAGAGTTCATTGCTGTTTTATCCACTCTTCAAAGAAACCACAGACTTCAAACGGTATCAGCCATCATCCTGAAATCAGTGACATTGCATTGGTCCCATACATACTTCATCTAGTGGTTTAATTATTAAGTTCTTTTCCTTTGATTTGTCTTCTAATATTTTAAAGGATATCCTCTTCAAATCTATAAATTTAAGTAAACCAGATTGCAACCAGCAGTATACTGGTAGAAAAATCTGTTCTGTATGTGCTGTTTTATTGTTGTAAACAGACAGTATAGAAACTGCACTTGAGCAGCCTGTCAGAATTAGAATTGAAGAATACAGGAGATTTACAGGATATTTACAACTTGTGGTTAACACAGCATGAGTAAGATTTAATTCCTGGATTAATACCTGGTGAGGTATTGTCCATTGCCAAGGAACAAACACTAAAGCTCTTTGTGTTTCTCTCATTCCAAAAAATTAATAAAAATTACCATCTGTAAATTTATAGTTTCACACTGGAAATGCATAGAGGTAGAACACACATATTTTATAAACCACTCAATTGTGAAGTTTGTTTGGTAATATAAGTCACATTTCCTTATATATGAAACCGTTTTCATAAGGAATGACTAGAATTGATCAAGCTGTATCTTTGTATTGACAGAATTCACTTTTTAGAGAAGTGTTTGATAAATGCCTCAATACATCAACAGCTACCCTTAATAAAATGATATGGGCCATACTAAACAGCTCATTAGCAAAGAGATTTTTTAGAGAAAATCTTCTGATTAGTGTTTTCTTTAGAACATTAATATTTGGGAAATGTGTTGCATAGTCAACTTTATGTATTGTGAAAAGTCTCTGACAATTAACATGATTCAAACTCTGGTGTTTCAGCTACAAAGAAAAAACCAATGCAGTCAGAATTTGTCTCTCTTCTCCAGAATTATTGACTTCCATTTTCTTCCTTTATTTCTTGGTTGGGAATTCAGCTTCTCTTCTTACAGAAGTTCACTGAACTGAACTTTTGTTAAGTAATTTGAAGAAAGAGTGTAAAACAGAAGAACATTTTGCATTCGCTGTGCTTATATATATAGATGTAGGAGCATAAGGAGTAAGTGAACTCATGTTTGAAAATTATAGTTCCCTGTTGTAGGGTGGGTAGCTAAGGCAAGCAGGATAATATGCATGGGCTGCTGCTTGGAACAAATATAGATTGGTATTTTTCTTAAGTGGCACACTCATAGTACAGACCTTCTTTCTTGACCAGGCTAATCCAATAAATGAGAGTGCATGTTCGGAGCTAAGCCAGAAGCACAGCCACTGCTGTTAATGGGTCACTTCATTATGCTCTGTGCTGCTGTTGCCAGTCACCACAGCTGTGGCACCTTTGTTATATAGATCTCTGGTGATTTGATAGTGTACTTTTATTATGTTTACTATCTAGGAGGAAATGAGCACCTTTGCCTTCAGCTGCTTCATGAAACTTGAAGTAGTTGAAGACAAAGCAATCAAAGAAAAACTCTCACTTATGAGTTTTATTAGTATAGACTGAGTAATCAAACTGTAAGTAGAAGTTGACTCATATATATAAATAGTTTTCTGCATAATTAACGTGATCTTTCCTGAAATATTATTTTATTTACTCCTTGTTGCATTATACTCTTGTATGTGTATTTATAAAACAGAATTCTTTGCTGGAAATTAACTGTTGTGAACATCTTTGTAATGAAAATTTAAAAAAAAAATTCAGAGGAAGTGGAAGTAATACAGTATTTGTGGGAAAAAACACTAATTAATCCTCTGTTATCCTTGATTACTAGGTTTGACTTGAAATAGAACAACTGTTCTCATGTTTTGCCATGTACCACTTGTGCATATCTCAGCAGCATGATTCCTAATTCTTTCAAAAAACCCCAGCCATGCATGTTTTTCTTTTTTTCTGTGGCATGATCGACCATATTTCTCTGTGTCTCTATAATGCTGTGTAAAATAAGATTTTGTATTTTAATATTGTTGTATGAAGCTTTAATATAAAAGCATGGTAAAGCTTAAGACTAGTCACTTTCCAGACTGCTGCCACTGTGTTTTCTGCTGGTACTGAGGGACATGAGCCTTCAGCTTCTCCGGGAAATATTTGATCATGGCACTGAAAAATAGTCCTGGTTATCATTCTCAGATGTTGGCTGTTGTGCCTTTCCCAGTTCCCTGCTGCTTTATATTGCCATAGTTTTCACCTTTTTTTGCTTTGCATTCAAGATTCTCAGTCAGCAGTAAAGAGAAATAAAACTGATAAATCACCTCACCTCTTTTTTGGTGCTGATAGGGAGAGTGCTAAAAGATCACAAATACAAGTAGTAAAACTTCTGTTTGGGCACAGACACTACATATGTGTGGATATTTATTGTAGGATAATAAATGAAATTGGAAAAATGAATTTGTATTTCAAGAGACACTAATGCGCCATCAGAGTTTCCAAAACGTTGACCTCCACTTATGTTACAAATCCCTTTCTTTTTCTGTCTACCTGCCTGTTGCATTGTTTATTATTAACAAAATCTTTTTCTCCTGTCAGTTATACTAGTTGGAAAGCTAAGGGAAATGGGCTAAATCGGCACAGATTTTGTTTCAGCTATCAGAAGAAGGAAGAATGCAGAGCAGAAACCGATCACCTCCTTGTGTTCTGAGAAAAGAACAGAATGGATGCTTCCAAACGAGAGGAGGCAGCCTTTCCCTGCAGAAAGGCTGCTCTGCCACCTCTTGCTCGCTCTGGCTGGCAGTGCCCACACAACAAGCATGTTGATGCAGAAATGTAGTCTGAGTCCATTCCTGGTTTTGGCATGACACTGTTCGTCTACTTGCTCTTTGTGTTACTTCAGTCAGTTGTTCAAGGTTAGGTGGTTTTTTATGTTTTACACAGCAACCAACAGGTGGTAGTGATACCATTTTTGTACTTATCAAACCAAAGAGCTGTACTAGGTTAAGAGTTTTGTTTGTCCCTCATTTTCTTCTCATGCGGTCAAGCAGCGAGACTGGTTTTAAAAGCAACAGACCTTGTCCTTGAGGAACTATGCTGAGGTCGATAGCTGCTTACTCTACAGTATCACATTCGGCCAAAACCACCCATCCAGAGCTTGAAAAAAAAATTCTGATGTGGAAAACATTTTAAATCTAGTAAGTGTTTATTTACTGTCTGTTTCTTTCTTCAGATATGCCTCTTCATGTACGGCGGAGTAGTGACCCTGCACTGATTGGCCTCTCAACATCTGTAAGTGATACAAATTTTTCTTCAGAAGAGCCTTCACGGAAAAACCCTACAAGGTGGTCCACAACAGCAGGCTTTCTCAAGCAGAACACCTCTGGTGTACCCACTACACATGACAGAAAGGTATATTTTGGTACACTTCTTTACCCCTCTTCATTCAATAAATAATGTGAAATATACATACATTTTGAATCTTTCTGTCCTCCTCTTAATGGGTAAACCTTTATTTTCAGGCCTTGTCCAGCCACACTGTCAGCAGAACACTGTGCCAGTTGCACGGGTACCTTTTGAGGAAGCCCATAGTGATACCCACAGTAGGCATTTCAAATGTTTGATTTTGCCATTAATTGCCATTGAAGCTCTGATTACTCCTGATTCTGCCAAATAGAACCTAAATACCGTCACACATTTTCTTTGACTGAGGATAGACGGTGTCTATAATGATTTCTACTGATCTCTGCAGCGGTCCTGATATCAGTGAATAATCTGCATGCCTACAGCTAGTCTGGCCCTGTCTTTCTGGCATACCAATGCTCACTTTCATTTTCCAAGTCAAGTAATTGTAACAAATACTGGTACAAACTGGTACAAATGTTACAAAATTGTAACAAATACTGGTACTGTAACAAATAACAATTTGTTATCAAGTAACAAATATTACAAATGCTATTTCTCTTTGTTAACGCTATTAAAACTAAAACAGTTTACTTTATGCCTATTATTTGCTTCCTGGGTTCAGTATGTCTGCCTGCAGTCTTTTTTAGCTTAAGAAGTTTAAGAAGAAACTTTAAAGAAAAAAATAATTCCAGTGAATCATTTCTATAGAAAGTTGCACTTTTGGTTGTCATTCTGACTGCACAGCCCAAAATCCTGTCAGAAAAGAAGTAGCTTATGATAGCTATAATATAAACACAACCCAAGAACGTGCAGCCAGGACTCCCAAACTCCAGATAAAGAAGTCTTTACGTACTGCTAATGAACTGAGCTATCTTCCAAGGGCTTTTGATTATTTCAAAAACAAGGCATTGAGGCCCACATTCTTACAAAGGTTTCTGTTTAACGTGGTGTCTGTAGGTTTCTCCTTGATCAGAATTTCAGGTAGGTAAAGGCATATTTTCACTTGTGCTGATGTGACACATGAGTGTGTGTTGTTTTGAAAGTATTTTATAGTATTCTGATTTGGAGAAGAAAAGCGATAATCTAATCCCTTCGAAGTGTTACTATTTTCAGTTAATTTTTCTGAAATGATAATGAAACTGCACTTCATTACTCTACTAGCACAGATATTGGAGAGCCATACATAGCATAATCAGATTTCTTTTAGTATGTGAAGTTAGCAGAAATTGGAGAGAATTGAACAGCAGCTGATCTTTCACACTCGTGTTCTTGCATCATTAGTTGTTCATTATGTACTTGCTCTCGATTTTCATGAAAATATTTGATGTCTACTGAAGCATGATGACCAAAATGGAAAGGAATATATGTGATCTCATGTTGTGATGGGAAGCTAGCAACAAAAGAACATTAAATCAGGAAAATGGTGGAGAACTAATGTACATTTGTTAGCACAGCAGATACTGGTAATTGTTTTACTGGCCTTTTATTTTACATACTGTATACATCAGTCCTTCAAATAGAACAGATTGCTGAGTAGGTTATTTTTAATAGATAAGATGCAGTAAACAACTGCAATTGAGTAATAATTGCTTGTACACCATATGTTATGAATTAATACTGAGTGAATTTGTATGTTGTTTGTGTTGCCAGCATCTTGATTTCTTCATGTGAATCAAGATATATTAGTGAATTTTACTTCTTTTAGTAATTGATATTAATAATTCTCCTTTCATATCCCAGTACTAGCAGCAAATTTATTTGTATTGTTATTCTAAAATTCATTATTTTCTCAACATTGAAAGTATCTATCTCTTGTGAAAGTACTAACATTGAATTTTTGAAATACATTTAGATTATTTGAACTATAACAACTACTCAGTACTATTTGTTTTCTTAAGCTACTCAGATAACAAAAAGAGATGGCTGTGCTTTGTTTCAGACTGTTTCACTGATTATAGATGACACAGACATTTCAAGCAAAGCAATGAGAACAATCTTAATTTTCTGCTCTGTGCATTGGGCTTGTGCACCCATATATCTTTTGTGGGCGGTTGGCACTACGTAATGTTTTCACTGCATTTCCTTTTCTTGACAGCACAAGAACATATGTTCTTGGGTTGAGATTTGCAGCACAGTTGTAGGTTAGCAACTTTACCCCAGCAATATCTATATGTCTCTCACAGAAACAAGAAAAGGGTTTCTGGGAGAGCTGCCAAAAGCTTCATCCACCTACTGACTCTAAGAAGTGACATTACTTTCAGCCCGTCACCTCTAAAGAGGAATAATTGACAGGTAGAAACTCTGTCCAATTTTTGGAGTAATTAGCACAGAGAAGCTGCATGTATCTGGCAGAAGGGATTTATTTCTCAGGGGCAAGTGAGAGAAGACTCCTCAGTGGTGTTTATTTCATTTTGGGTAAGAACAATTTGAAATGGCAGGAAAACGGGCAGATGCCCAAGATCAGATGAAATTAAGAGGAATGCTGCCATGCACTGAAAGCTGTGCAGAGCCAGGACGTATGCCAGTAATTCTGGGCACATGAAAAGAGAAAAGGGCACTGGGAAAGAGGAAAAATATGGGAGATTTGAAGGATCCTGTTGGTGAACTTACAGTGCCTTTACGTATTAGGATGGCAGTGATTTCTCATCTGCTTTTCATACCCCTTTATTGAAAAGAAACGTTTATTGTTATGATATCCCTGTACTCTCTGTGCTCCTTTTGAATTGGAATTTTGACTTTTTCTATTTTGTTTTGTCCAGCTGTACTTACACCTTGTAAGAGCAACTTGAAACCATATATTGATGCTTTCTATCCAAGAAGTACTCATGTATTTGAAGAATTATCATTATTGTTTTTTTTACAACTCATTGTAATATTGGAGACTGTTGTCAGCTAGGTAATTCCTGATCTCTTCCTTCGGTGTCCTCCTTAGTGGTCTCAACAAAATGATTAAGTGTCCTCCTTTGTGCAGGTATTTACAAAGTTAGCTCATGATCATCAACCATTTTCTTAGGTAAATTCAGTTCTCAGGATTCTTCTAAAAGTGAATATTAAAATGACTTTCAAACAGAATTTTGTGATCGAGATGTATCTGTATTACAGTGATTCAGGGCTTGACTTAATCATGTCTCTTGCTTCCTTGAGCCGTTCTAATGAAACAAGAAATCTCGTAATAAAAATATCTTCTCAAAGGCCTGCAGTGATACCTGATTTGCAAGCTGTAATTTTGTTTGGATTTTATTGAACTATACAGTTGAACAGATTTTATGCAGCTCAAGTGCACCAGACGTGGTTCCTTCCATCACAGAATATTTTTTGATGTCGTTTTCTTTTCTGAATAACTGTTAATTTGGCTCAGTCTTAATAATGCAGTATGAAAGCCTACTGACTTAAGTAGCTGCCCTTAAAACATGAGCTGCACTAAGGAAAATCAGGTTTCCTTTCCCTTAGATGTTTGTGTTAGTATACAAAAACATAAATGCAACAACTAGATATGTTTTCTCTTATAATGACTGTGAGTTAATTATCCCCTTTCTTTTTCAATTTGCACCTGTGTTTGTGATGAAGAGTTGCATATTATTACAAATTACTTATTTGCTTATCTAGTTAACCTGTCTTGCTTAAGACAGGGATATAACATGGCTACCTGGCTTATGAAATATTTCCCACAGTGACTTTTCTGAGTTTGATTCATGTATTGTTGCATTTGAGATAACAGCACTGGGATAGTATAAAGAGGCAATAATGTACACTGAGAGAGAGCAATGGGAGAGAAAAATGATTGTGCACGGGCTTCTGTGCCTCTCTCGCTCCAGGATTCACCCACCTGGAGCAAAGCAAATGGCGTGCAACATGCTCTGCAGGGTGGATCATCAACAGAAACACGCAGCTGAATATACTTGGCGTGTCACTTTTTTTCCTCTTTTTGCCTTTGCCATTTAGTCAGCAGCCAGTTTTTTTTTGTTTGTATATGTAGGTTTCCCACATCCATATTATGAGGTTGAGAATAGCCATGCCTTGTACGAGTAACTGTTTTTAGGATATTCTTTCTTCCTGCTTGGAAGCCTTATCTTTATGGGCTCCATAAACTGCAGAGAAAGAAGTCTAAACCACGTAAGACTGACCTAAATCTCATGTAGTGTCAAATCCCTTAACTATAAAGCATTGTGTTTCTCATCATCCCCTCTTGCAGAAATTTTTATTTTATACTGGCTTGAGACAGATAAATACACATATTCAAATTATCACATTGAATTTTTTTTCCTGTGAAAGATGCAATGCCTCTAAGTCTCTTTATGAATGGAATACAAATTTTTTTTCTTTAGTCACAGTAGGGAAAAAGCATGCATGCATTATACAAAATGTATATACCAAACAAAATGATTTGTCCATGTCAAGATCAGATTCAAAGTGAAAATTGGTTTCATTTAGCTTTGAGTCATTTTAAAGCTGGCTTAGTGAAATTTTCTCTATTGCTGTCGCCAAAGGTGTGTTATTTCAATAGATTTTAGCTATAATTCAGAGGATTGAAGTTTCCTGTATTAAAACAGTATATGGATTTCATTTCATAGCTAAGGAATCTGATTTTCTGACTGGAAAGTCATTAGACCAAGTAGGAAAAATTATGGATTAAAAGATATCATTCTGGGAGCAAGCTTATTTCTTTTTGGTGAGATTTTGTCATTTCAGATGTGACTGTATGTGGAAAAAGAGGAAGGAAAAATGAGTTATTTACAAATACTGAAATAGTGTTTTAATGCAAAAAATGTTGCTATGGAAGAGAGAGGAATGGATATTTAAAAAACAACCAAAAATTTATGTGCACTACTTTTCTTTCTTTGCAATAGAAAATCATTGCTGATAGCTTGTCATGTGATAATAAAATAGAACAAATGCACCCAGAGAGAGTGCAACAGAAAATAAACATAATGCGTGTTGTTTTTGTCCTGGGTTGTGTGTAAAATTCATGACTTCCATAGGATCATAGAATAGCTGAGGTTGGAAGGTACTGCTTGAGGTCATCCAGCTCAACCACTCTGCTCAAGGCAGGGTCAGTCGGAGCAGGTTGCTCAGGTCTGTGTCCAGGTTTTGTATAAATGTAGCTGCAAGGATGAAGAATGCACCACCTCCCTTCCAGTGTTTTGTCACCCTTATGGATATTCTTGTATTTCAGTGTGTATCTGTTGACTCTTGTTAC